TCTGTTAATGAACTGCGTTTCGTTACATTTTCAGTCCTAATGRCATCAGATAATTGCAACTAGAGCTTCGTGAAAATGCTGGATCACCAACGYCTTCTGAGTTCTCCTACCTGGGACAGGTTGAGGTCGGGGTCTCCCAGCTGCAGACCCTGGTGTCTGGGGGTGTGGAGATGAGGCTCAGCTCGCCCGTTRGGAATGAAGGAGCTGTACATTTTCGGTGTTGATACATCCAGTTTCTCATCCTGGAAGGAGACCAGACAGAGGTGATTTTTAATGGCTCCAAACAGGGTAATGAGGGACTTGCAGAAATGYACATTTGAGCAGAAAGGTCAGGGCTCAGCAGCAGCTCAGTGACACATTTTTTTTCCTGCTGAAGGACATTGGAAAAGTGATGGAATTATAATGAAAGAGGCAGTTGTAATGACTGAATAAAACACCAAGGTGAARTTTATTATATGTTCCCTCAGGGTGAAGAGGAGGAAGATGAATATTAAAGCTATTGCTTCTCGAAATTCAGACATTTACGTTGCATCCCCTCAGCTGCAGCTTGGAACCTGCAGGACAAATGCATGGAAAACACAGCAGCAGGGATGTGTTTAAAGTTAACTTCACCCRCAAAGCATCATCGGCTCGTTTAAAGTTGCCATGTACTAATGAATCCATGYAATATTTATTAAGTTTGTGCAAGTTTGCTTAATTATTTTGAGATAAAATAAATCACATTCTTTACAATAAACTTTGTTTTTCCCTCCAAAGTAAAGCCTGAAGGCAGAAAATCACAAGTATTAGAAAAAAAAAGTTTGAAAGTTTTCAACAATAATTAATTGGAATCTTTTTGTAAAGCAGTTTTGGTAAAAAAAAATTAAATGCATTTTAAAGAGGCAATATTATGTGTTTCTCAGGCATACATTTAAATACTATACCATAATGATGTATCTATGTCGCCTTTAGTTATTATTAAAATGCTGTTTTTATGTTTAAATAGGAAATGAACTTATCTTCTCATCACTTCCTCTTCTAAATGCCTTGAACTTGGCCTCTGTCTCTTTAAGAATCACCTTGCGCTTCTGTCTCCCCAATTTCAGTGCCGGGGGTGTGTGTGTGTGTGTGTGTGTGTGGGGGGCGCCACCATAAGGAAGTTCGGCTCAAAGACATGTCCCAAAAGACGTTTCTGGTCCCCACCTGTCGTTTTGCTCCTCAGCATGGCTTCCTAAGAATGCTGCAGGATTTCTCAAACATGCATGAATGAGTCAAAGCAAGGTTTCGGGCATATTTTTTTACGAGAGTATAACATTACAACATGCTATAAAACTCAAAAAAATTGGTTTTACATGATATTGCCCCTTTGAATAATTAAATATACTGCATATGTATTTTGAACAGCCTTTTCAAAAGTTTAAAACATTCAATACTTATGTTGGAAAGTTCTTTCATCCTGTTAATTCTTTTTTTAATTATCTAAGATTTGATTTATGTTTTGGTTGAGCAGCTCTTTCCATATACAGTAACTATAACAACTCTTTAAAGAAGCCAGGATAATGAGTTACAACATCTAATTTACCTTTGGGGTTAATATAGTATTTTTGAACAGAATTGAATGTGATCCATGAGCACCATGCACCAACCTTCGGCTGTCCCTCCAGCAGCCCATTTAGCTTGGCGAGAGACCGCAGCGACAGCGCGTGAGGCAGGGACGCCTCGGGATCTTTTCCCAGCCTCCTCGCCCGGTGATCGGCGCTGCGGCTGCAGTAACACGACACCAGGAAACCTGACAAGATGGCTCCCAGACAGAACGCCACCAGCACGCAAGCAATCAGCAAGGTGTAGTGGACGTTCGYGTTGGCATGCTGGTCTGTTTCAGGAAGACGACGAACACCTGAAAAACAGGACAGAAAATGGAGATATTTCTTAACATTGCACAAAATATAATTAACTTTACTTATTTAGTAGTATTTACTGTAGCCCCAACTAAAAAAACTGCACCCGTTTTGCTTCTCTTTAATGATAAAGTACATAAATTCAGAAGCAACCTTGTTAGTGTTCTGCAATATTTGATATGTCACCAGTCAGCAGGGGCGGAGCTAAACATTTTTATAAGTGGTGGCCAAGGTGTTTTATAGTGGGGCACATACAAATCAAGAAAATTACTCTGAATTTGCAAAATCCAAGATGAYCACCACAGTTAATTTCAAATGGCTCTAAATTAGTTGCTTTAAGAAATAAGCTAAAATTTTGTGTGGTCGTACCTAAGAATGATAAAAAAATACATGGCAATTGCTACTCCCAATTTAAGYTAATCACTACTGTACTACTAAGGGTAAATTTAGTCACTTTTAGAGAGACAATGCAGAAAATTGGTGCAGTAATGGTCAAAAACAATCTTTACAAAATTCAAAATTTTAATAAAAAAAATCAAGATGGCAACCACATTTAACTTAGAGCTGCAATCTGTTGTGGTGAAGCTATTCCAAGCACATGCTGATTGCTAATCTCAACTAAGCAAACTGCTAATGCTAATTTATAAAGAGCTATATAGCCATTTTAAACACAGACATGAAAATTTGTGTAGTAGCCAAGAAACATTTAATCTAAATTCAAATACAAATACCAAAATGGCTGCCAACTCTATATTTAAATGGCTACAATGTAGTCATTTTTTGTAATTTCTATATTTTTTTTCCTTCACACTTCTAGGTCCCTCTACATCAGACAATACAGCTGCTTGTCTGATATTTACCTTTTTTTTCTCTAATTTCCCATCTTTAAAATGCCACATGTTATCCCCACCCACTTGTCAGTCATTTAGGGGTGGCACCCGAGGTGGCAAAGGCCACCCAGGCCACCCCTTTGGCTCCACCCCTGCCAGTCAGTATTTTAAAAATACATRTATAACATTAGATAACAAATGATGCAGAAATGACTAAAAGAAAAACAATTCTAGTCTGAAGCAGTCTGACAACATCCTCAATCAAACTAAACCTCTAATTCAAGTTAAAACAAGAAGCAAACTTTAGATTTTAGATCCAAAAGTTTTATAGATAAATCAGATTTACCCATTTCTATCCAGATGTCACCTTCAAGCATGGTGGCAGTAAAAAAAAATCATTTTTCAACAAATCTATTAAAATCTTTATTCCCATATTCAGGAACTATAATAAAAAATACAAATTTGGCATTGGCATTACCCGTGTACTCTTAATGTATAGCTTGCTCAAAAAAGACCATTTTCAAAAGAGTAYGATTTTGCTGCAAAAAGCCCAAACAACAGCAGTGTGTGGCCAACAGGCCTTTTTCTTCCTTGCATAACCACATATTGATTTGGTGTGTGTGCACAATGTRAAATAAGATGCAAAACTTTAAGTAAATTCCCCACCAGCAGGAGGAGGGTTTTTTCTCTGGATGGATGGGTAAACATTTTGCTGACGGTAAGTTGACAAAAGAGTTGAAGAGGGGGGGACAGATGGATGAGGGGTGAAACCAAGGTGAACGAGAGGATAAGAGAGTGAAAGACAGGGACGGGGATAAGGCTTAATGAGGCGCTTTACAGGTGAGAAATCCACATGACAGATGAGCAAAAAAAGACAAGCAGGACATAAAGGTGAGATCTGACGTATGGAGACGGGAAGAGAAGAAAAAGAAAGTGATGAGATGATTTAAGGGAGAGAGATGACGTGGCTGACAAAAGGATGARGGGATGAGAACAGGAGGAGAAGGATGTGGAGGAGCTGAGATGAAAGAGTTTTTGTTTGGCAGCGTTCACCTCATCAGGTTCAGGTACACCATCAAAGCCTCGCAGATCCAATGACTCATCAATCTGTCCCTCTGCAGTGACGCATGTGAACACGCCACATTCAGGGCRGGTGAAGGGTGATTGCTCCTGCACTAATCGATACTTTGATGCACAAATTCTGATTGACCTCAAATCCGAACAACAACTATAAATTCATAGTTTAAAGATGTGGTTATATTGCTGCAAAACCTTCAGCCAAAGCCAAAAATCTGAACTTTTAAGGAGGAAATTCAGTATGCATGGGGTTTATCCTGATCAAATGTTTAATTATTCTAACTGACAAATGGGAAAGACGAAAGCTTCAGATTTTTGGATTTAGCCCATGGCAAATGTGTGACTAATATATTGTTAAAGTCTGTCAGTAAAATGAGAATTGCGTAAATATGTGTGTGTGTGTGTGTGTGTGTGTGTACTGCAATTTGACCTCAGTATTTAATGTTACATGTTAAATTCATCATAGTGTTATTATTTAATGTCATACATGAGTAATTTTTCAATTTTAGAACATAAACCTGTAGTTTGTACTCCGTCCGTCCGTTTTCTGCTGCTTATCTGGGGCCACGCCCCCTTAAGATGATCAAAAACTCACCGTTTTGATAACTTTAAATCCCCCGTGTCTTAGCAGCATTCAGACTGAGTTAGAAGCCGACAGGTCAAAATCCCTAGGAGGAGTTCGCAAAAGTTWGACGTGAGCAAAATTGAAAATCGGCCGAAATTTGACCTTTGACCCAAAATGGCTGACTTCCTGTTGATTTTAGGGCATACCTCCAAGAGACTTTTTTTTTTTCATTTGGGGAGATCTACCAATGCCCTAAATTTCAGCTCTCTAGGACTTACCAGTTCCTCTATCTCACATTAGGTGGCGCTGTCGAGTCATTTGGCCACGCCCATTAAAAATTCCAATGAAATCATGCRATTTTYGCCGGGGGACAATTTTTAGTGAAGTTTGGTGTACTCATTTCTGAAAAAAAATTTTAATATATGTTTCTTTTTAATGTGTTATGTAACTTCTRTTGCTTGACCTGCCTGTAAATACTGGATTGTTTTTGTTCCACTGCTAGATGTTTGGTACATTACTTAACATACTACATACTGTATAATCATAATAATCTTAATGCATTTAACAATGTAGTATTTTATAGTATTTTTTTCAAGCTGAACAGTGAAGTTGTAAAATAAAATAAAATATCTTGTTGTCATAAAATAACTGCCCTCCAGTAAGACTCTAGCAAATAAAACTAACTCTTCTATCTGCATTTCATCTGATTTTGAAAAAAAATCATTTAAGCTTTTGATGGATGGCTGCGTCAGCCCGTGCTGAGTCACCGCTGCTGTTCTCTCAGGTGATTAGCCACTTTAACAGATGAAAACTGTGACTTTCCGGTTGACTTTGTTTATCTTAACCCCTCCTTTTTATCCTGAAAGCTTGACTGAGCTCCAGTTTACATTACGGCCGTCCTGCTTTACATTCCCCGYGACACAGGCGCAGCGGGCAGCCGTCCAGGCCAGAAGCTGACAGGTTGATTTGCCTCTCTGACACTCAGAGCGCATTTTCATCCGTCGCCTTGTGAACAATTTGAGATCGGATMCTTAGAGGGGAAGAAAAGGGTTCTGACATTCTGGGACAATTTACACAGGTTCGCTTYAGCCTTCGTTTCTAAAGATAAAGTGAAAAAAACGGCAACGTTTAAAAGGTGTCAGGTATAACCTTGAGACAAAACTGGGAATCTTCGAGGCGTTATGGAAATTCGAAATACAAATGGCTTTAATTTAAACATACAAAAACATTGTCACGGTCATAAGTGTTTGAAACAGATTGATCAGATTTTTAAATGCACTTTTAGTACCAACCTTAGCATTAAAAATAAATTTAGATTTCTTTTATATATCTTGTATTCACCATCTTTAAATGAGACTTATCAGGCTTCCTGTTAAGCCCCAAGGGGTTTTAGAGGTAATTTCCTCCTGAAAATACACAGCAAAATAAATCAAGAATAGCTCCACAGTTTCTAAATGCTAACTTTTGGTATCTCTGTAAAGGTAAGATCTTAAAGATCATTTCTTAAGTGAAACCACTATTGTAGCTCTTACTGTGCCTGAGTTATTTGTGATCAAATAAAGAAAATTTGTAATTTTTTTAGCCTCGCCTAATTTCTTTTTAAATCAAGAGTGCAAAACACAATGGAAACTCTTGTGAAAACCCAGGAATGCCCTTAGATTTTATACATCTACATCTTGAGAAACATTGTAGCAAAGTAGGACTGAATAAGTTGAAGTATATTCATTTCACAAAGGTTTTAGTGAGCAGTGTGCCAGGCAGAAATGGCATTTTGGCACAATTTAGCCAAATGTACCCCAAACTGTGCCAAATGGGTTTTTTACTTTATAAAAGAGAATCTGGTCTAATAAAAGTGTTGATTTCTATTGTAGGCCTCATTCTGCACATGACATAACCTTTTCTTTTTACATGTACACTGTGCATTATCAAAATCTACCATTGTACGCACCATGAAATCACTGAAATGAAAAAAAATAAATAAATAAGTTGAAAAGTATCCTTTTGGCTCCATTTAGTGGAATTTTATTTTTAAAAAATAAATGTTTATGACAAAACTTTGTCGATAATTGTGTCAAAATATACCCCTGAATTCAAGAGAGCTTTGTCTTTTCAAAGATACCAAGGGGAGGGGTACGGAACCAAAACTTGCACAGCAACAGATGCAGAGAACTTCCTGATCCTGAAACGGTCTGCGATGGTTCAAGTAACTTACAAACGTTTATATAGCTCTAAAATCATAAATATTTATCCAAAAATAATTTGGCCACTCATTTTAAAAACATTAAAGACACCTTTTCTGACAGACTWAGAAAAATATTGGAAAAAATAAGTTTTACACCTACTTTAGCAAACAACAATGCAATGACGTCATCTACATTTAGACCCTACAGTTGAGTCTATATAAAGTGGACCTGCAATGCTTTGGTTTGAATTCCTCCTTATTGTGACTCCACAAGCCCCACCCCTTTTCTGGGGTGCCTCTCAGATCAACTCATTTTGAGGCTGTTTCTTTGATGAGCTTCACGCC